TGTGGCACGAAGCTGGGGCGGTCGCCAAGTCCGCAAGATGCGCCGTAAGGTATCTTGCCCCTTTTGCCTGCATGAAAATCAAATGTCATGAGGAATGGCGGTGAGTCGGAGTAATGAGCTGATTCGTCCGATCGCAACATTTCGTGACCGGTGACCGCGGCAAGCGAGGAGTCAGGGGTATCGCAACGCGGAAGTGATCGCTCAAGGAATTGGCAGCTGAGCAGCCATGCATGGAACTAGCCTCAGGCCCGTTGCAAGGGTGAGAGATAGGAGGGACACGCTGGCTGGGAGTTCACCGCGAGAACCGGGAACGGCGACTGGGCTTTGGGCGTGCGAGGCCCAGTTGGGCGAGGGGCCAGCGAACATTGTGAATTGTCGCCGAAGCTGAGGCCAAAGCTCCATCGCGTGACAAGAAAGACTGGTCGAGATGGCTGTCGAGGACTTGCAACGAGGACGCGGCCAGGTCGGGGAAGCCGGGCGTGGTTCCAGGCTAGGCAGGCAGCAGCATGACAGTGGAGATGAAAAGGGGGAGGGGGCTGAGCCGACGAAAACAAGGAAGGCGAGCTAGTAGCTTAGAACTGGGCGACGGCGGGAAGGAGGTGAGGAGGTAACATGTACTGGCGACGACGTGCGGACGGGGGACGGCCTACTTATAGTAAACGCATCAAGGGGCCCGTGCACGGGAGACGGATGGCCACAAGCTCGCGCCGCCGACGTGGCCGATGCCTGTTTGGCGTGCCGCCAAACCCGGTGGGGAAGGCAGCGACTTCGCTATTACCATCCCAACGGACAAGCGTGTATACTTGACGGCGTGGGTGTCTATGTCTGTTGGCGCGAAAAAGGCGCGAAAAAGGCTCGAGCGCTTGACCAGCGGGTCAATTGCATATCGATGATTAATTCTGTTCTGTACACGGATACGGGTCCCACACAGCACAGAGGCCTAAAGTAGCAAGCCGCCATGAGAATCCCAATACACAGCCAAGCGCCTGGCAGGCGGTCAGCCCCCAAAAAGCCAGTGAGAGATAGACAACCATGCGCGAAGCTGCATAACCCAGCGAGCTAGCGGCACCAGCGCACGCCGTTGATTCGCACACATTGAACGCGGCGCTTGCATTTCATTGGTGTCCCAGTCGCTTACGCTCCTTTACATACTTTCAAAAAGTGAAGCTATTAACATTACATCACTTCACATTAATTGACAATTTCAACAAGTTTTCCATTTATCTTTATCCTAAGAAGCACAGCTGACTCAGTCGTTTCACTCCTTCGTACGGGGCTTCGCCCCATACCCATTAATCAGAACTGTATAGTTAGGAGAAAGAAGAAGTCTAACTAAAAGAATACTTCTTAAGAGAAAAGTGAAGCTATTCCCAACTCACTTGCCTTCACGACAGTCACTTCCATCAAGGTTTCCTCCAATTACTCCAATCAAGACCTCCTGTTATAACACACATATCAACTGGGTTTCCTCCCACTACCTCACGGTTCCAGTCCTTCAAATAACTCTTCTCCTCCTCTTTCGTACCAAATCCGAGTGGCGTAAACACAACCCGTGGAACACACATTTCTGCCCTCTTCACAGATTTGTCGACCACCAAGTCTCCCCACTCAATATCTTGCCCATACAAGTTACCAATGGAGGAAAGAAAAAATAGTTTCCAACCGCCATACGCTTCTCTCCGGTCTTCTTCACAGCAAGGTGAACACCAAACAACATGTTCATCCTCATTAAACGGTGTCCCATCCACCGATATCGCGCCGAAGATATCACTTACAACACCACCCCATGGTTTGTCCAACAGCATCATCACTGTGCACAATATTCCTTCTTCATCACTCCGACGCCGTCGAAATGAACCAAACAAACGGCAACTCACGCCTTCAACTCGCTTTCGCACCGCTTCCTCCAAGTGTTCCCACAACGGCTGCTCTTCCAGTTCCCACTGTGC